TTTTTATATTTAAAAATAAATTAAAATAAAATAGTATCAAATAATTATTTATATTACCTATTAAAATGTTAAACTTTTAAAAATTGGTTAAATTGTTACAAATGTAGTAAATGTCAAATGTTATTTGGCGTTTATTAACCCTATTTCTATTACATCGTGTTGATGGATTTTTTAATTCTTTCACTAGGTATGTACATTTAAGCGAGTTATTCCCTTCATAAAATAAGTTTTGATTTACTAGCTTGGCAATTTACTTACATCCGTTGACCTCCGGCTCGATTGTTTGTATAATCTTTCTACAAAGAGTATAATTTTTGCGACTTTCCTCGGAAATACCTAAGTTTAACTTTGAACAATCAGTTTTGAAATGATCAGGAAGTTTTTCTTGAGCACAGTCCGTATCATTATGACTATTGCACACATAACATTTTATGTCATTATCAGCCTTCACTAGAAAAAAAATGAAAATTCTAATGGTTACAGCATCAATCTGTTGAGTTTTCATCATACTTATGCCCTCATTACATATTTTAGAACTTTGAATTCTTTTTTTTTAATGAAATTACGTTCATAATTTATTTTTATGATTAAATATATTATAAAAAATTGTATAAAAACAATACACCCCTATTTTAGATCGTTTTATTAAACTTAAAAAAAATTGAATGTAGTACAATAAAAAGGAACTACCTTATAACTACTTTATAATTTTTAGTTTTAATTTATTACCAAATGTCTAGTTTTAATACAAACACGTTTTAGAAGTGTGACGGATTAGAAATGGCGTGAACCGTGCAATTTAAAATCTTCTCAAAGTCAACTCTCTTAATTAGTTATCGCTTTTCCTTAAAAAATTCCTGTCTGTAAGATTAGTTTTACTTAAAGTTGGTCAATGGATAATTTTGTTTTCACATTCTATTTTATTTTATTAACAGTACGGGCCATCAGTTCAAGACATGAAAACGAGTGACAGTTGATAGCATAAAAGTGATGATAATAACATACATATGTACAATATATACATATAAATAAATATAAAAATGTATGAAAGTTATAATTTTTAAGTGATTACGTGTATTTTTCAACGGTCAGAAGAACGTGCGAACCGTAAATCCTTCTCTTCGGTACAATCACAATTCATGTATACCGATTTTAAATTGATAGAGAAAACAGTGTTGTGAGTCCTTTTAAAATGTTTGAAAAATAAGATAGAACGTGTTTACAATAATTGCGCCAGATATAATAAATATTGTTCGGATCGCGCGAGTCATATCCATTGTACTTCGATTCGAACGGTTTTCTCCTCCGCCGGGTCAGCTAGCGTAACGTACAACTTGTACGATACGCAAATGTTAGTATAATAAATCCGAGTACGCTGCTTACCGGTATTTGTGTTGAAAACGATCGCGAAGGCGATCAACGTTACCACGGCGTACGATGCGACGGACATGATGGCGACGGCGTTGGACGGTCGAGCACAACACACGGCCCGGGACAAGTTAATCTATGGGCCGCGCGCAAAGGCCGGCGTGTATTTGTTGTTGTGAATCGTATTCAGATATAGTGTTTTGGCGATTCGTATAAGCAACACATCCGGAAACCCAATTAGGCCAATTAGCCGCCGGTTATCGCTGTACCCCACCTAGCGACGACTTATCAATAAATATATGCATATTATATATACATACGTTTTGTGCCATCGTGATGATTACGTTTATCCTGTGGCATCCTGTGATTCTGGTTAGGTCACTCCCTCCAGGGACGCACGTAATACACAGGCGTTTACCCTAGAAAAAATACTTCAAAGTAATTCAATCACCGCTGTATATTATGAATGTAATTAGTTCATAATATGGTACCTGTTTGTCTGCTGCAACATATACGAACATCATGTAGTGTTAATTCAATTATATATAAATATATAGGCAATAACGCTGTTTATCGATTTTGTTTATCACATATGACCTGTGAAGAAATATATAAAAATCGAATTACGTTCCATACATATACACTACCGATTATGTTATGTATACCTAATGTATGAATCAATATATTTAAATAATATAAATTAACCTTTGAAATGTATCTAATGTGTACAATAGAAGAAATAGCAACGAACATGTGTTGGTGTATATTTATATGTATATAAATTACTTAACGATAAATTGTACATACGTTCAGAAACGATCATAATGAACACGTTTGGTAAAGAACATAAAAAATAAAAAGCAATTTATATTTTACACGGAGAGTAGAAAAATTAATTGTCAATTGTTCTTGGATATTTTAAATATTTGTTATGAAACACGATAGCTTTTTTAAAGTAGGTATCTACTCGTTATTTCTCATATTTTAAGCTATAACTAAATAGTTGCATAACAGTTAAATATAATTTAGTGATTCCAAATATATATTAAATACATACTAATTAATACTTGTAATGTTATACAAAACGACAACTGAGTAAATCTAATTTTCAGATATTTCATTTTCGATATAAAAATATATGCAATTAATAAATTAATAAAAATATGCAATTAATTACGCTTCGTGAATTTTCATAACTAAAGCGAAGGCTAGTCAAAAATAAGACAACTTTTAATAATTTTATATTTCGTCCATTCACGAAAATACCTTCAAATACTTAGATGATAAGTATATAATAATATTATGTGTCTTTCCATTTAAGATTTTCGTTGCTAACTGGTTACTGATTTGGTAATTTAGAAATAACATTATTTGTTTACATAACGATATTTTTATATTGCTTATATAAAGTTATAATAAGCATAAATGCACTTATATAGCTTTTTATTTTATCATAGTTAAATTAATCAAATATCAAATAAAATCATTAAAATAGCACTATTTATTAAAAAGATTTATGTCGTAAATATTGGTTTTATAATTAAACCCTAAGCAAATGAAGATTACATTTTATTCAAATAAACATAAACTGTTGTTTTATGAATGGAAGCTGACACTTGATATATTCACTCGCTTAAGTATTATTTCATATTTTAAAATGCTTTTGAAACTTAATGAAATAAAATAAAGCATAATTTTTAAATTATAAATTTTTCTAGGCGCTAAATTAGGTTCATTTAGATATTTTACTTAACTCCTTAGTTAATATTTATAATGTATGCATTTGACGTTTGCGTTTGTTACTTCTATTGCATTTTTCATTTTCTTTAAACGTTCACATATATTATTACTGTATAAGTATATTTTACATTGAATATTATATACTCTTAGATGTATACAAATTGTATGGCACAAATAGGCGATGGAGATGAAGATTAATATTTAGAACAGGGAGATATATACAATAGTCACTTGATAATTTGAAAAACTTCATAAATCGAACTAAACACTTAGTCCCATGAGAAAACTTCTATAACGAGAAAAAAGACATGTATTTCGGTTTCCTCGATTATCGAGGCTCGATAATTCGAAATGGTAGTCGGTGCTACAATTCAAATTTTTTTTGCCAGAACCTTTATATTTCGAATTTCTTTAAACCCGATTTATAAAGATCATGTACATATACAACCTATTTGACGTACTCACAATTAAACTAATAATGACGGCGATAAAATGTAATGGTAGTTTTTTACTACCTAACGTACCTAATCTAGACTTGAATCGTGTAATTTTACCAAAATAAACATCTGAAATGGGTAAATAGTTGAAATCGAATAAAACTTAGTCAGTTTGAACATAGATCTCATAAAGTATAAGACTAATAACACTTAATGTTTGTAGATCAGCGACAAAAGAAAGATGTTGCTCTACATATTTCTTTAATGTGTACTTAACATGTAATAATGTGTTTAATAAATCGATGTAAATTAATAAATGTCAAAATAAATGTAACATTTTCATCTCTCTTTTATTCAAACTATTTATTTTTTCCCCTTATATTTAAAACATTCGATGAATCAAAAACTATAAATTGAATTTTCAATGCGTTTTTTTGAATTTTAAATATTTAAGAATATAAAAAATGTCACAGACAAGTTTAGTATTGATATTAATATACCAAAAAGAGCTAATCTTTAAACTTCTCGAGCTAGTTACAGCAGATGTAATCCATAAAACTATTACAGAATATCTATATATAAATATATATATTCCATACTTAGACTTAATAATACATTCATTAAAAGCAAATTTTAGTGAACATAATGAAACGCCATTAAAGTTGGGTGTATTTATTCCATCTGAAATGGTGCAAATTGATAAAAAGCATTTAACCACATACTTGAAGAAGTTTAAAATAATATTCAAATTGAAAATTGAACACTGTATGTTTTAACTTGATACAGTATTTAGGAAGATAAATCTAAAACAAATTAAAAAAGCTTGAAAGTATAAATATATATCATCTATTAAAAAACAAATGGGATTTTTTTTACAGAAGTAATAAGAATGTCTAATCACCTTTTTAATACTTCCGCCTATAACACGCTCTGTAAAAAGATAATTTTGCACCTTAAGACGTTTAAAACTTGGACAAGAAGTACTATGGGAAAATATAAATTGAATATACTGTGTATGTTCAGTGTTCATAAACGAAAAATTCATTATGGTACAAGTTTGTTGAAAAGTAATTGAAAATTTGTTTTACAAAAATTAAATTTACAGTTTTTGTTATAAAATATTATTTTTCTTCATATTTAAAATGTATGTTTGTTTTATTATTTAATAAAATCATTTTGTTGATTTATAGTTTTTAAGTTTTTTTTTTTATTTTATGATTGTTTTTATAATTTTTTAGGTTTTTACAGATAGGCGCTCTTGTGCAGTAGACATTTATAAAAAGAAAAAAAATATTGTAAAGTATTTTCATGGATATTATACTATCAGTTTTGAGGTGAAAAATTAGCTAAGCTTCTCATTGCTTTATTTGCATTGTATATTAAAGTTTTGGGCAACGCCTAAAAATGCATTCTATGAGGTGGATTCAGGCCCGTACTGACCCACCGGACAAATGAACGACGCGCCCATGAAAATTACGATGCATGATGCGCCCATACAAATTACGGCTACATTAAGATTTTGGAGAGATATCCATTGTTTCTCATTAACAAGTAATAACCTGATGGTTTAAGTTATACGTCAAAGAAAAACATTTATATTTTTGAGAAGACAAGCGTTAAATCTAAATTATAATTCTTTAATCTGTAATTTATTGAACCATAGGTAACCTGAAGGATTAAATAACAAAAATTAAGGTGCCCTTAAATATTTTCGTAACCACCCCATAAGAGCAGCCAGTCGGGCCTGAGTGGATTAATATATATTCACCCAATATGGAGTGTTATTGGTTTTTAAATTTTGATTAAATACACGAATTTACATTGATGTATTTCAATTACTTTTATCTTTAAAAAACGATATCGATAAGCATATTCTTTTATAGAATTTCTTTGATTAGGGATCATCGATTGCTTAGTCATGTAATGAAATTTGTTAAATTTGGCCATCGTCAAGACTAATCATTCACAGTCTCACAGATATCATGCAGTTCCCTGGATGTAATAGATTCCATTCATTCTTTACCGTCACATCATTATTGAAAGTGTAAGAATTGTAATTTAAAAGCTCGTCACTTTAAAGTTACTTCGAATTTAGGTGAGTACAAATTAGAAATAAGTACTATATTAATGCTACACAAACCTTCAAATAAATATTTTCCGCCGGTTATCTTTTAAAATCCAAAACTCAGTAATGTTATGTTACGCGTAATGTCGGTGGACTCTAAAATGGATGATATTGTCACTTTAAAATAACACATTTATTTAAAATTGTACTATACTTTGTATAAATATATTTATATCTAAACGATTTAAGCTTTAACTGTTTGGATAAATTTGGAAGAACTCTTTTTTTTTACCTGATAAATAGTACCTATTTGAGACATTTTTATCAGTGCATGGAAAGTTATTTTCAAAGGAACTAGTTTATGTTCACATCTTATTAAAAAGGAATTAAATTATTTTTAATTTCTTTCCTCGTTCTTAAACAAGGAATATTTTTCGTTTCTCAATAATTTTAAAATGTAATTAATATTTTATAATCGAACGGTTATTCCAGTTTATTACACCGATAAGACCGCAGCGACTAATTTTACTTTTTGTAAATATTTTCAATATTATCATATGTTACACTTTAAACTAAATATTCTATAGATTAAATAAAAGTGTATTTCTTTATATGTATATAAAAAAAAAAAAAAAAATAATAATGCGAGCCGTCCACATTTTGGGTTGCCGGTTGACACAACTACTGAATCAATCGTAGAATCATTATCCTCAATAACTGAATAAATTAAGTACCTACATTTCGTAATTACTTCTTACTTCACTAAAATGGAATATACATTTTTTTTTTCTTATATAATGATGAATATTTAGATACTAAAATCAAAGCATGTCTCGAAAAAAACATTCAATATATATATATAATTTGTATTTATTACTTATACAGTTAGGTATACGTATGTTCAAGATTAACCGATAATATAACAATTTTCGCTTACCATTATTTTATTAAATTTTAGGAAAATACAATACGTGTAAAAGATTCTATAGGTATTAGTTTATTTTGCTATCAACCGTTAAACGAATAAAACATTATATTACAGTGGCGTCCACGTAGGGTACCAACTGGTGCAATTGCACTGATTTCTAGTGAGTCCTACATATCACACCCCTATATAGAATACAAACGGTATAACTCAAAAAATGTCAATTTTGAGTTGACACCACTGCTTAAACCGCGGGATAAATATCTATTATTTACACTCATCTCTTTTTTTCTATATTATTTAAAGATTAATTCAAAGTAGAATGTGATAAAAATATAACATTTATTTTCTCTATAATATTGTATATTATTAAAGTTGATTTATTTTTATTGTGGTGTTGAGTGTTAGGGAATTCCTTAAACTCCTATGAAAATAGAAAATAATAATTAATGACAACTAATTAAAAAAAAAAAGTTAAAATGTCACAAAAAGTGATATTGTCAGGCGGTTTTGAAAATTCTTGAAATCTTTAATTGTATTTTTTCAGTAATTACTATTTCTAAACTATGCCGCATGTATTCTAAGGGTACGATATAATCGAATGCCTCACTCTGGTTTCTGCAGCAAACATTTTAAATGCATAACTATTCATCTGGATTTTTTTTTGCATCATTTGGATCGTTGAATAAAACGTAAAGAGTTGGTGGTGCCAAATATAAATATGTAATAACTAATATAGATAACTACAATAATATTGATTGTATTTGTAGTTTGTGTCAGAGCTCAGGAAGCCGCCCCAAGATTTTATGCTATTTTATTAATATATGTTATGTTATTACTAGATAAAAATAAATTATGACGAAGTTTTAGATATATTTTGTGAAGCAAGTCAACACATATTCAATGTCTTAAATTAAATCACTAATCAAAATTATTATGTATGTTGTAGTATTAACTTTTAAATCTTCAATAATTAATAAGTTATTGTTTTTAATACAACAGTGTTTTATACACTCTGATAAATTAAAATAAAATAATTTCTATAAAATGTTCTTAAGATAAAGTATAAAAATTTAAGTTGTTTATAGAAAAATAGTTTCATATTATTTAGATTATAACAATATAAACATAAGTCATACCTACACTTAAACAATATATTATTTTTGAGAAATATAACTGTCACAATTTTAAATATTTAAGAATCAAATGTCTGCAAAAAATCATTATTCATCTAAACGATTTCCAGGTTTTTTACTTTTTTAAATAAAATAATTAATATATAGTATACATGTATATGGTTCCTATAGATTTTAGTAACTTAAATATTTTGTTTTGACCTGACTCAATTTTAAACTCAACTAGTGAAAATTTACCTGATTATTAGTGGTTCTTTACTTCAAGAACCTATTAATGGCTTTTTAAAATAATATGTTTTAAAAAATACAGTAGTTTTTTTAGTAAATGTAATTATTTTTTTTTTTTTTTATCAATAGATTTTAAATTAATAGCCATGGCTACTAAATACAATGTGAATGTAATTTCTACTGACATGAAAGGTCGATTAGAATTTATGATGAACATATATAATCGTTTAATGATGTCTGATCAAGATATATTACCTAATAAGCTTTCTTCAGATAATCGTCTATTAAATGGTTACACGAAACTAATGCAATGTGCTGCAAAAAGCAAAAAACATAAGAAATCAAACAAAAAAAGTCACTTAAAAGCAGCAAATAAATCAATTAACATAAAATCAGCTATTCAAAAAAATTATAAAAATTGTAGCAGGTAATATCATAAATTATTTTATAATTAATATTTAGAATTTTAATAATTGTCAGTTCAAATTTTGAAACTAAAAGTATAATATATGTTTTCAGTTCATCATCTATATCATCTCGGCCAGCATCTAGTCCTTCACCATCTTCCATGATGTTTGATTTTGAGAACAACTCAACTGCCACTTGCTTTGAGGAAACAAAAAGATTATTATGGGTAGGTTGTAAAACTGTTGATGATGTTCTTAATATGAATAGAGATTTACCAATGTGGGTACAAACAGTAGATTCAAATAATATTGTTAAACAATTGTTAACATCTGTGGATGCTAGTCGAATTGATAAAGGTAGTGTGCATACATTGGTTGCTGTATTTATAAACTTCAGCATAACCATGATAGACATGATTGGGATGAATGTTAATGTAGATCAACATTGGTGGAAATATTCTTACAAAATTATGGAACAGTTGATTAATGATATTAAAGTATATTGTCGGTCCAAGGATCCAAATGCAACAATTAAAGTCAAGGGTAAAAATGGTGATCGAATGTTAAATAAAGCATTATCAACTATCACTCAGTTGAAAAAAATTGCGCCAAATGATAAACTTGAAACTCATGTAATTCAAAATCCAATAACACCTCTTGTTCCACCAGTACAACAGCCTAACTATCAACAACCATCTCCTGACTATAATGCACAATTTGTAAACTACAATTATCCGAATCAAAATTATATGAACAATTATAACTATCAAGCACCATATCAAGCACCGCAAATAAATCGACCACCATACTGTCCAATGCAATATCGTCCTACATACCAACCTTCTTATCAACAATATCCAAATCAGGTACGAGTGAATCAACCACAGTATTATCAATACCTTCAGCAACCGCCCAACCCATGGCAAAATAATTACCAAAAACCTCCATATCCCATACACAATGCACCATTCCCACCTACACAGTTTGTAGCTAATCCACAGCCAAAACCTGAAGCGAAACTAGTTGAAGTAAAAGAAGACGATGAGAAAAAATGGTTAGAAGCACAGAAAGATGCAAAAAAATTAGTGAATAATGCTATTAATCATAATATATTGGCAACTAGATCTTCTGATAATACGCATTCATCACAAGAAAGTGAAGAAGGATTAATAAATAATTTACATCCAGTATTTGAAAAAATATCAGATAGAGATAGTGTAGGTCCACTGCCAGATGACACAGACCGAATGTGGAACTTTTTGTCAAGAGAAGTAGATAAAAAAGTTCGATACAAATTTCAAAAGATGATAAGAGAAATGCAAGCTATACCTGAAGATGAGTTTAGCAGAGAGCCAGATTTATATGTAAGTTTTTTTTTTTT